AGCTGCCGTTTCTGCCGCAGACGCAGAAGTGCAGGTGACCGCCACGACTGCCGCCCGCTGCCTTGCAGGTGAGTCCCCTGGGCAGTGCAGCGGGCCGGGCTGTCCGAGGGGCTGCTACTCGCAGCGGACTGCACACATCGAATAAACAAAGAAATTATTGCCCAACAACTTCACGTGCATGACTCTTAAAAGCACCTCTGTTTCCTTATTATTCAAAGGGCCTTTTACTAATGGAGTGCGTATGCTGGCTGAATTAATTTCAGTTTCAAAACCAAGAAACTTCTCTTTAAAAACAGAGAAGACGCTGATGTGGTAGAATATTGTTTCTCATATTGTCTCTTGAGTAATAAGAATACCGGCAAAGCATATTCATCCAGGTGCTCCTCGCTCATTGAGACGGTCCCTTTCTCTGTCTCTGGCTGGCACGCAGTAGCGTCTTGATGGAGAGCTGCCCATCGTCACTGTTGACACATGACAGACTTTGGATGGAGAGTTGGAGGGGGGACATGTAAGCTCTGCAATTGTCTTGCTAGTATTATACAGGCAGGAAGGCAGAAAAAATTGTTTTAAGAAAAAGTCAAAAGGAGTTTATCTGAGAGAGTGTGTATAATGCATTTGAGAGACCTCAGTCAACCTAGCCGTGAGACCACTGCCGTTATGTTTGCAGTGGCACGAAGCAGCCTATGCTGGACATATCTTTCAATTACATAGTATAGTCTGATCACTTCAAAACAAAATACTAATTTTTACATTGAGTGATACTTAATGAAATTTTCATTTTAAAAGTTTACGACAATGTTCACCTGCTCCTCATTCAGCTTGAGTCACAATATTAAATCATGTGTTGATAAGATCTCTTTACCTGTGTTGTGGCATTGTCAGCTACTACCCCAACAACACCTTCTGAAGCCACGTTCGTCTCGTTGCTCTTCTGCCTCTCCTGGGCAGGTTGTACAGGCCGGGGCTTGCTCTGCTGCAGGGAGGCGCCGCTGCTCACGCCCTTGGCTCTAGGCCTTTCATGACCATGCATGGCTAGAGCTGACCCTGCAAATATATGAGCAAAGATTTTGCAAAGCTCAGAATCTGTTTGTTGTTTCGATGTACTGAGGGCAACAGCTGCTATACTACCACATGCCTTTGCAGATATAATAAATACCATATGTGATTTGTAATCCTTGTTGAATCCGTTTATGCAGGTAGAGATCATTTCACTGATTTTCTGAAACGATCTCAATATTCGGCGATCACCCTGCAGTTTGTTTCTGTGCCAAGCGTAAGCGAGGGGGGTAACTGTGCGTGATGCAGCTGCGCCGTGGGCTGGGGAGCCCTAGCGGAGGCTTTTGCCGGAGCCCCCGCCAGCCGCTGTTTGCCCTGGCGCTCTGGGGCAGCGGGCTGCTCCTGCCTGCCTCCCTTTCTCCTCTCCTCCAAGGAAATCTCTGTCAACCCCAGTTGCTGCTTCCACATTACAGGGCTTTTAACAAGAAACAACTAATTATCTTTGTAATCAATTTGTCAGGGCCGTTAAGGCTTATTAGTGCACTCAGGGCCCTGATGCAGTTATAGAAGAAGTTGGAAGAAGTAGAGTGAAAAGAAAAATTAGTCTACATGGGAAGGTGAGCACATAGGAAAATCATGGTGTTTTCTTCTAGTAAAATGTTTGTGGTTGCTTTCTGTGGTTGTTTAAGGGCTAGCTTTGCTGTTTTCTGTATCATCTTGGCATATATTCTTAAGAAAATGAAAAGAGGCCCAGCAATCAAAATAGATTATCTAAATTCCTGATGTGAAGACCTATGAAATCCAATTGTCCAGCAGTGCATGCCTAAAAAGCACCAGCACGTGTCTGATGTCCTGAGAAATGCCAGGATGACAGAAAATATAGTATCAACTCATATAGTATAAGGATTTATTTCAACCTCAATAATTATAATTAGGCCTTCAGGGACCAAAGAAAAAGGCAGTCTCTTTCAAGGGCTGCCCCTTTTAATGAGCAGCTTTTGAAAAGTACGGGAAAATAAGTGTACAGATAGTATCTGTGGAAGACCTTCTACACAACACTTGTTACAGTTAGCACAAGAAGTTGTGCAAATCACTCAGATATCAAGCATCTTGTCATCAATTACAGCATTTACTCATCTAAAGACACTAAAGCAAGACATAACAGTTTGACTCCTGAAAATCCTGACACCTGGCAATATTGTCCTCTCTTGATTTAGAAAAGGCTTTCAGAAGGACCTGCTAGTTAAGCAGTAAGGTTTGTAGGGAGAGGCTGTATCTTTTATTAGACCAGTATGCAGCCCTGGAAATAATGGACAAGCTTTCAAGCACATGCAAAAAAGGGACCGAGGGACTGAAAATGGTCCAGAGTGAACTCAGGTCACACGGACTGGACTTTGCAGGGAAGCCTCTGCTATTGCTTGTCCTCACTTTAGCTGCTCTGAAAACAAACGGCATTTCATTCTCTAGCCTCTTGCTTTAGCACCTTTCACAAGTATTAAAAGCTCACACCTTTAAAAAAAGATGTGGCAGTTACAGTTTTTCAGCTTGAATGCTGGATTGAACTGACAGATGTGTAAAGAAAAGGTGTAGCTAATGAAATTGATATAATGTGTATTTTTGGGCAAAGTCTATCCTACCTAATAACCTAGACGTGTAAGATGCGAGAAACACTCATCCAAGAGTGGTAAATACAGTGTCTGCCCTTGCCCAGTTCAAGCGCAGGGAGTTTGAACAGTAGCTTTAAACTGTAAATATTTTTGCTTTGAATTTTTCTGTACTTTCTGTATATGTTTAGCTAGATTAAAGCATAGTTCTGATTAGAGCCTCTTGGCATCACTATAAAATATGTATTAAATAAATCTTGTGGTATGCGGTCCTGTGCAAGGAAGGTTTCTCTGCTAGTGCAACAGAACCAGTACAGTTTCTGACTGCTTAATGTTCAAATTTAAAGTCAAAGTCTAAGTAAAGATGCACACTTAGTTATATATTTTTACCTCCAAAAATGTGAATGTTTTCTGAGTAAGCAAATACAAAACCAGTTCTAACCAGCAGTGCTCAGCCAAGATCAGAATTGAGCCCTCACCTGGAGACAGATGCCACCTGTGAGTTTTTCAGAAGAATTTCTGATTTGGCAAATCAAAATCAGTTTACAGACCTGTTTGTAGTATAAATGCCTAGAGAACTGGATTGAATCTAATGGCTCACATTAAAAGAACTCCAGCTGAGAGAAATAAATTAAGTTTGGGCTCTGTATCAGTAGAAGCAGAAGGAAACTGCATAACATTTTTCATTCTTACCTAATGCTTCATTTCTTCAAAAGAAGAGGTTCTTCTTTTAGAAACTCTTGCTTATTGCATTAAGTATCATCCGGTATTACTATGTCATCAAAATGTGTTTTTTTACGTCTTGAACTAAAACGTTATTCAGTAATTTCTAGTAAAAAATGTCTCATTGCAAATATATTACAGATTGCAGTTAGTAGGACCAAGTTTAAAAAGCATACATGTTTTCTGAAGGCTTTTGGGTGGGCTGGTGACAACTAGTTTCACTGAATCTATGTACAGCCAATATTACATAAATCTTCAAACTCAAAAAGTATGCATCTAAGGATTTGTTGCACATGCAGGACTGGTTATCTTGCAGGACCACTTGAAAAATGTAATGTAATTACCCAGGGACTGAAGCAAGGAATCTTACCTCGAGTTCTCTAAAGTACAGGGTTCCCTTTTTTCCATAAGTTCAGAAATCCACAACTGAAGAACTCTATCTACTACTACAGGCTTGAAGTGCAGGTACATGAGATGTCAGTGCAGTTGCATGACATGCCATCCGTGCCAGCAAAATCAGCTTAAAAAGGCTGCACCATTGGCCACGTATTCCTGCCTCTGTGCTACAAGGGCAGTTTTCTTTAACTGGGGTCATTTTAGTGATCCCAAAATACGGTTACATTGATGCAACCATTAAGGTGGTGAACCTTTGTGCAAGAGCAGAAATGAGCGGCCAGGTAAGAAAGTGGGGTTTCCATCACACTAGTGTGTGTCGTCCACTGACTTCTGATGCTTTGACATACCAAAGCCCAGAAGCCAACCTGTGACATGTTTTTTCTTCCCTGACAACAACAGGGCAGGATATAACACAATATCCTCCCATACTAAACAGTTTCTGTTCTTCTCTCTTCTTTTGTATATTGCCATCTTGAAACTGTTACATAAAATGAAAACTTTTTAACTTCTTTTAAAAACTTGTAATGAGTTATATTTATATAATTCAAAAGATTAATATTAACCACAGTGTAACAGTTACAGATGAAATATTCCACCAGGGCATACTGCAAACCACGTGCTGTCCCTGGGAGCTAGATTCTGCTATTGATTGCAGGCATTGCTGAGGTAAAAATAGGGAACGTCACAGAGAAGCAGATGTCTCTGCAGTTGCCACACACTGACAGTGACTGAAGACCACTGTTCACTCCAAGACGGGAAATATGTGATGCTCCATACGTTTGCCTTAAATAAGACCCATTTCTTATGGTGGAGGGTGGATTATTGAAGCGCAGAGTTAAAATCTGTTAAACTGTGCTCTGAGGATTTGACATATTCATGTGTCAGGCTTAAATTTTTGAACCGTAATGGCTTTGCAAGGGAGCCCCCGAAAAGGCATCACAGACCAGTTGTGACACCACTGCGTAATCATCCAATAATATATTGTTAAGAAAGCTGCAGGGATACTAGTACGATAACTTCAGTTTCTGCCACTGTGTTTAAGTGTTTTAACGTTGGGAATTAGAAACAAAGGCAAATACTAAGGTGGAAAGGGTTCACAACCCTACGGGCCTGGCCATCGGTAGCTTAATCACCTTATTTACCTCCTCTAAACCTTATGGAAGTAACTCTTATAAACCAGGTGCTACTAGGGCAGAGCTACCAAGTAAGGTAAAGATTACTTTGGAATTACTGGGTGTAATCTCGGGGCCCTACTTTTAAGTATGCTTAGTCCCTTGACTCGATGGAGTTGTGCATGTGAATTCTATAAGATCAGATGGAGTCTTGTACAAGTTGTAATAAGAAAGGTTAGAGGCTAAAAAGTGAGAAGTCTTGAGAGGCTAAAGATTAGAAGCTGAGCGGCAATGAAAATGGATTATAGTTTCTAAGTTTCTGCAGTTTAAGTTTCTACATTTTTGCGGTGTTGAGGCTTTATCTCTAGTCTTCTTTGTTAGCAGTGTAACAATTATCAATATACATTTTCGTGTTCGATATGCATATCCTTCTCATTAACAAAAATCTGTCACAATAATTTCCGGTGGTACTCGTTGCAACAGGGATGTGTGTTTGAAAACCTGGAGAAGCAATCTCACATTTCAAAACAATCTGGGGAGGAAAACCACACCTTTGCAAAACAGACACACACACCGCTTCATCAGCGCTTATAGATGGGGATTTTTGTTTGGTTTTCAGAGAATAGCTTTGTCACTTTGTGTAGGGTGCAAGAGTTCCTGGAAAAATCCTGCTTTTGACTACAGAGCTGGTTGCCAGCAAGTTATGTAAATCAATCTATTTTATTAAGATAACTCTGAGCCGCCTTTCCAAAATATTTGTATGTATAAATAAGAAAGATCTTTATATTCATGCATACTAGTTCTTCATTTCTACTTTTTGAAAACATCTTTGGTAGACGTTGCTTTTTGTCTGGGCAAGAATTTTTAAGAATGAACTGCTAGTCACATTAACGTGTGCTCTGAAAGCAAAACATGAAAAGCAAGAATGCTAGATCAGTGGAGCATGTACGGTACTTGTCTCTGGCCAAACTCTGGGATCTGAACGAAACCACATCAGTGGTGGATTTATGCCCGCTGTCTTTCACAGCTGTCCTTCGTTATTTTTACTGTCCCTTCTGTACCAAATAAAGCTGGAGAAAGTAGAACAATAGAGAATAAGTATATCTGACATTTTGACATCTGGTGGCTACTTACAGTGAAGCATTTCATAAAATCAGCCTTTATCAGCAGCAGTGCATTTAAAGTACACAGTCCTGTTCACAAAGT